AAACTGAAAAATCGAAAAAACAAAAATTTAAAAATAACGAAGTCTAAAACCTAGAAGTCGAAAAATAAAGAAAATAAAACACCGAGAAGTCGATAAATCGAAACATTAAAAAGTCGAAAAATCGAAAAATGGAAAAATCAAAAAATCGAAAATTTAAACGGAGAAAAAAATCGAAACATCGAAAAATTGAAAAACTGAACCATCGAGAAATCGAAACATCAAAAGATCAAGAAATCGAAAAGTCAAGAAGCCCAAAAATCGAAAAATCGAAAAGTTAAAAACTGAAAATCAAGACTTTGGGACGTCAAACGATCGAAAAATTGAAAAATCGAAAAACTGAATAGAAACTGAAAAATCAAAGCATCGGGAAACCGAAAATTCGATAATTCGAAACATCAAAAAGTCGAAAATTAGGGAAATGGAAAATTGGAAAAATAAAAAGTTTTTAAACCTCAAAATGGAAAAATTGATAAATCGTAAAACTGAAATCTCGGAAAAGTGAAAATGAGAAATCGAAAATTTGAAGAATCGAAAAACTGAAGAATCGAAAAACTGAAGAATCGAAAAATTGGTAAATCTCAACCGTGAAACATCGAAAAATTGAGTAATCGAAAAATTGAAAAATCAATAACCTGAAAAATCGGAAAATTGAATAGAGAAACTGAAAAATCTAAAAAGTGAGAAATCGTAATTCCCAATCGAAAAATCGAAAAACATGACCAAATTGAAAATTGTAAAAATCTAAAATCCAAAAAGTCGAAAAATCCAAAAACCCAGAAATCGAAACATCGAAAAATTGAAAACTGAAACATTGAGAAATCAAAACATAAAAAATCAAGAAATCGAAAAGTCGAATACTGTGAAATCGAAATTGTCCAAAATCGAAAAATCGAAAAGTTAAAAATTGAAAAATTGAAAAATTTTAACTTAAAAAAAATTGATAAACCGAGAAATCGAAAAATTGAAAATTCGAAAAAATATAAACTGAAAATTTGAAAAATCGAAAAAACAAAAATTTTAAAAATCGAACTCTAAAACCTAGAAATCGAAAAATTGAAAAATAAAGAAAATAAAACGCCAAAGAACCAAAAAATTTCAAAATCGAGACATCCAGAAGTCGATAAATCGAAACATTGGAAAAAAAATCGATTAATCGAGAAATTGAGAAATCGAAAAATCGAAAATTTTTAAACCTCAAAATTAAAAAGTTGAAAAATAGAAAAACGGAAAAAAATCGAAACGTCGAAAAATTGAAAAACTGAAACATCGAGAAATCAAAACATCAAAAGATCAAGAAATCGAAAAGTCAAGAAGCCCAAAAAAATCGAAAAAGTGAGAAATCGAAATTCCCAAAATCGAAAAATCGAAAAGTTAAAAATTGAAAAATCAAGGCTTTGAGACGTCAAACGATCGAAAAATTGAAAAATCGGAAAACTGAATATAAAAACTGAAAAATCGAAACATCGGGAAACCGAAAATTCGATAAATCAAACCATTGAAAAGTCGAAAATTAGGAAAATGGAAAATTGGAAAAATAAAAAAAATCGATTCATCGGGAAATTGAGAAACCGAAAAATCTAAATTTTTTAAATCTCAAAATGAAAAAATTGATAAATAGTAAAACTGAAATCTCGGAAAAGTGAGAAATCGAAAATTTGAAGAATCCAGAAACTGAAGAATCGGAAAATTGGAAAATCTCAACCGTGAAACATCGAAAAATTGAAAATCGAGAAATTGAAAAATCAAAACCATGAAAAATCGATTAATTGAAAAAGCGATTAAATGAAAAATCGATTAACTGAAAAATCGAAAAATTGAATAGAACAACTGAAAAATCTGAAAAACGCGAAATCGAAATTCCCAAAATCGAAAAATCGAAAAACCGAGGTATCGAAAAATTGAAAACTAAAACATTGAGAAATCAAAACATCAAAAATCAAGAAATCGAAATTGCCCAAAATGGAAAAATCGAAAAGTTAAAAATTAAAAAATTGAAAAATTTTAAATCAAAGAAAATCTATAAACAGAGAAGTCGAAAAATTGAAAATTTTGAAAAATTATAAACTGAAAAATTGAAAAACCGAAACCACAAAAATTTTTAAAATCGAACTCTAAAATCTAGAAGTCGAAAAACTGAAAAATAAAAAAATAAAACGTCAAAGAACCAAAAAATTAAAAAATCGGGACTTAAAAAATCGATAAATTGAAAAATTGAAAAACTGAATAGAAAAACTGAAGTAACATCGGGACACCCAGAAGTCGATAAATCGAAACATTAAGAAGTCGAAAAATCGGGAAATGGAAACGGAGAAAAAAAATTTAAACATCGAATAATTGAAAAACTGAAACATCGAGAAATCAAAACATCAAGAAATCGAAAAGTTAGGAAGCCCAAAAGAAAAGAAATCGAAATTCCAAAAATCTAAAAATCGAAAAGTTAAAAATTGAAAAATCAAGACTTCGAAACGTCAACAATCGACAAATTGAAATATCGAAAACTGAATAGAGAAATTGAAAAATCAAAACATCGGGAAACCAAAAATTCGATAAATCGAAACATTAAAAAGTCGGAAAATAGGGATATGGAAAAGTGGAAAAATCAAAAAATCGAGAAATTGAGAAATCGAAAAATCAAAAGTTTTTAAACCCCAGATTTGAAAAATCGTAAAATTGAAATCTCGGAAAAATAAGAAATCGAAAAGTGAAAAAAATCCAGAAATCGAAAATTTGAAGGATTCAGAAATTAAAGAATCGAAAAATTGGAAAATCTCAACCGTGAAACAACGAAAAATTGAACATCGAGAAATTGAAAAATCAAAAGCTTGAAAAAACGGAAAATTAAAAAAACCGAAAGTTGAATAGAGAAATCGAAATTCCCAAAATCAAAAAATTGAAAAGTTAAAAATTGAAAAATCAAAACTGAAACGTCAAACAATCGAAAAATTGAAAAATCGGAAAACTGAATAGAGAAACTGAAAAATCGTAACATCTGAAAACCGAAAATTCGATAAATCGAAACATTAAAATGTCAAAAAATAGCGAGATGGAAAATTGGAAAAATCAAAAACTCGATTCATCGAAAAATCAAAATTGAAAAATTGAAAAATCGTAGAACTGAAATCTCGGAAAAGTGAAAAATGAAAAGTGAAAAAATCGAGAAATCGAAAATTTGAAGAATCCAGAAATTGAAGAATCGAAAAATCGGAAAATCGCAACCGTGAACATCGAAAAATTGAAAATCGGGAACCTGAAAAATCAAAAACCTGAAAAATCGAAAAATTGAATAGTGAAACTGAAAGATCTAAATGCGAGAAATCGAGAAATGGGAAAATCAAAAACTCTAAAAGTCGAAATGTCAAAAAATCAAAAAATCAATTAATCGAGAAAATGAGAAATCGAAAAAACGAAAATCTAGAAACGTCAAAATTGAAAAATTAGAAAATCGAAAAATTGAAAAACCTCAACACTGAAATGTCGAAAAACTGAGTAATCCAAAAATTGAATAATCCAAAAATTGAAAAATGAGAAATTGGGTAACTGAAAAATCGAAAAATGAAAAATAAGAAACTGCGAAATCCCAAAACGGAACTATCGAAAAATTGAGAAGTCAGAAGTGAACCGAGACAGTGAAAATTCGAAAAATTGTTACATCCACAATTTTAATTTTTTTTTTCCAAAAATTCCGACATCTACTAGAAAAATTCAACACGGATCCATAAAATAAACCGTAAATTCAGAACTATGTTACTTTTTAACTTTTAAATAACATTTATTTTGATTCGCGATTTACTATGCTTCCGATAACCTTAGAGCGTTTGCAAGATTTCAAAGAATTCGATTTTGCAGTTTTGACTTTTTCTCCAAAAATTGTTGATGGGGATGATTTTACAATTTTGGTTGGCATTGTACCATCCAAACAATAGTCCAAAGAGCCGTTTTTAAACAGTGATATTTTTTAAATAAAATCTCGTGACAAATTTGTTAGAAAAATTGTCGTCAAAAATTATGTCAAAATTTGTACTAACTTTGGTTGCGTATTTTACATTTACATGACAGAAAAATTAATAGTAAAAACTCTATTTTTCCGAAGTTCTGACGTTTCTCTTAACCTCAAAAAATATAAATAAACAGTACTTAACGAAACACTTAACGATTGTAATAGAACAACGTGTGAAAAACGAGAGAAAGATGTATAGGCACTGATAGCTACAATGTGGAAAATGACAGTATTTAAAATATGGAGATTTTGTGAACGGATAATTGCATTGCTTAGTATTAATGAACCTCAGATTTAATAAACCTTGATAGTAATTATCTTTAAAGATGTGTAAGTACTAACAGAAGGCTAAAATATAGAAAATGATGGCACATATTTTAAAATATGAAGGTTTCGGTGAACAGGTGTTAATCACAACATGAATTGTCTAAAATGATTTTTTATGAATAGCTCAAAAAAATATCAGACTAATAAATGAAACCTAAATTTATAGTATTGTTGGCAAAAACGAAAGCAACTCACAATTTGTGTCAAATCTTTTGTAAAATATTAAAGCGTGCCTTACACGGAGTGTTTTTTCTGTAAACGTTTCTAATAGAAAATTTTGTATAAACAATGTCACTTATCACGGGGGCTCTAAAATAGATTCTTGTAAAATTTGATAACAATCGGTATAATTTCGGAGATTATCGGTCTCATAAAAACCGACACAAACCTATTTTTTCATACTCTAAAGATCATAAAAATAATTATTACTAATGTTGTACTTTTTCTTTTGTATGTAGTTGACCTTTGACAAAATATATTATTATTATTATAGCTTTTCAACGATTATATTTTAAGATAGGCACTTTCAGTTTTATAAAAGTGAGTACTTAACTGACCTTGCGGAAAACCTATAGAAAAATAAAATCCCGCACATAGTGAAACTTTCCTTAAAACTAAAACCCCTCTGCTTTTTAGCTGTCAGGGCCTATCACACACATAAATCAAAATCACTTACCTCACGATATCCTGCAGCCTATGCGCCGGCACTGTCTTCGGCGTATTCCTCAGCACCGTGGCCAGCAGCTGCATCAAAGCAGCACACAAACTATCCGCTGGCGGCACGTCCTCCGAACATCCCAAACTCTGCAAAAACCCAATAAAGTTATAAAATCTGATCGGTCGACTTTTTTAGAAACGAACGTTCCAACTTCGCCCTGATTAAATTTGAGAATGTCCGCCCGGGCATTATTCAATTTTCCGATTTTATTGGGCATGTAAAAAACGTAAAAGTCTGCCGAATTGAATGTCCGGCGGTCCATTTACCGATTTATTCAATTCAATTACGCCTAATATGCATCGCCGTACCCTTTTCCTTCGATATGCATGGACGGTTTTTTATTTGTTTCTGCCGAACGGGCGAGTATATATGGCGTATCTTTTTTTATTGCCGCCGATGCACACAAAATCGTATCGGCTCACCGTAATCACGGTTTTCCTTTATGTTTTTCAATTCACGAAATGTATCCATCCGGCGACGTCCCGGTTCGAAGTACAGAACAGTCGCCGGGCTGCTTAATTTTAAAACGTCGTGGAGATAAGAAAGTTCGGTGGAATCAATCACATTAACGTCACTTTTAACAATTTAAATCGGAATCTGATCACGGAGAGCAGAAGCCGACTCTCGCTCTCATCCCTGCATCTGACATTATTTCAAAGACGGGCGGTAAATTGCGGCTCCGATTCACAGGTGTTCTTAGAAAAGGAAAAGATTGAAATAAAAGAAACGCGGTAAATTTGAGATTTATTCAAAAATTACTGATGTATCTATCTTGTTTTCTTATGAAGAAATATGGGGTAAAAATGATTGTCAAATTTGCAATGCACATACTGAAAACCAAGATCAAGTTTAAAATTTGTGAAACGACAACCGGAACCAGGGTTAGTTAAAAAAAAGCAAAAAAAACAAAACTATAAATCATGAATTACTTACTTACTACGATGAATTTAAAATAGTAAGGTAAAATTGTATCATTTTTTTGATATAGTCATTTTTTTGAAGCAAATAACCAACGGGAAAAAATATATTATCAATACATGCTTAATTTCGATCGTTCATGTTTATACACCGAAAGAATGCAACCATTAAGCACGTATCAAACTAGTTGATAAGAATAAGCAGAAGAATTTGAATTATTTTTTGTGTCCTAAAAATTAAGCTGCAATGGAGCAAAACGTTCTGAATATTATTTTGGGTAAGTAGCTGTTGTTATAATAATTATTATATTATTAGTATTAAATATAGACAGGCGCAACAGTACTGTAATCTCAAATTTTCGAGAAAATTTGATTTTGCGAAATTTTGTTTGTGAGATAACCTCTACACATCAAAAATATATACTTATAGATAATAGTATTAATAGTCCAAGAACAAAAAAGCTCATGAGAAAATCGAACACGCGACCTTCATATGCGAAGTCAGAAGTCACCCAGGGTAATCACGGCGCTATTGAATATCTTTGTGCCAGTTCCCCTTATCTTAGTATAAAAGGTTGGTCAAACAATTTCGATTTTTTTACGAAAATTTCTCAAGGCGAATTCATAAACCACAAGTAGAGGCGTATATCATTTTATAAAATTTAGATAACCTGCACTACAAAAACGATGACGAGTGGTCACCGAATTGTTGGTGGCGATGATTAGACGAATTCTGATTAGGTCAGGTCAGGTCAGGTCGGTCATTGCTAGTACTGGGAAGAAGGGGTGGAAGAAAACGTGGAGTGTGCGAATTTTATGTGACAGATTGATAGGGGGAGAAGAATGCGAAGTGAAAGTGGGTAAAAAAGTGAATGTAGATAGATAGTATGACTGAAATGATGTTAAAGAATGAATAGAGATGGGCGATAATAGAAAGAGTGGTAGTGACGATAATGAAAAGGAAATGTGAGTACGAGAGAAAGAGAGAGATAGGAGAGAAGAAGTGAGAGAAGTGAGTGAATGAGAATAAGAAGAGAAAAAGTACAAGCAAATCAGGAATAATAATAAAAAAAACAATACACGATAGAGGCATGAGGGAAGAATAGGATAGAGAAAGAAGGAGAAACTGACGACCAATCACCCCCCTGAAGTAATGCTAACGCGGGTGGGGGAAGGGGGGAGGAGAACAGCTGGTCGGTTTCCCTTTCACAAAAACTAAAATGATATTTTCTTGACAAGAACCCAATTTACACGTTTTAGTAGTTTCGGATAGAAAGACAGACAGACAGACGACATGCGACAGACAGACCGACGGAAAGAGACCCACTTTTTCGCTTGCCACCACAAAGTAAAAATACTGAAATTCAGTGCATCACATCGTAGCAAATTACACTAAAATTTCTTTTTTTGCGCAAATTAAAAAAAAATTAAGTCACTGGTTTTATTTTCGTTTTTCTTTTATTGTATAACCTTTGTTCATTTTGGAACTTTTGTTCTGCTAATCAATAAATCTGTATTATCATTGTTATTATTATTATTATCAAACAGATTTTTTTTTTGTCTATGTAGGATTTGCTTAGCAAAATTTTGATCAAATCAAATTTTTGGAGGCGATAGACAAATAAATTTTAATTAGCAATTTATCATTGTGTTTACGAGCACCTTAAAGCGTTAGAAAATACCTAAGGTAAATTCTGAAATTCTCTTACCGAATTTTGATTTTTACTTCCTGAACGTAAGCTAAGGAAGTATTGTAATCGAGTTCATTGGACGACTGGTTACTTTTACGTTTTCTCGACGTTTCATGACCCCTAGAGTACGAAAAGATCGGACTGTCTGTCTGGCTGTCTGTCTGTCTGTCTGTCTGTCTGCAGTCAGTCCGGCTTTGTATTAGACAAATAATTTCCGAAACTATTGGACCGATTGTTGTCAAATTTTATATGTAGATATATTAGGAATATGGTGTAGACAGTAAAACGTTAACTAAAATTTGACCAGTGATTTCCACCAACGTCATCTCCAAAATTTACATTGGTAAATATTATTTAAATTTTATAAAATAAGATATTCCTGCATATGCGGTTTATGAATCCGTGTTGAGTTTTTCTCCTAAACATCCAGATTTTTGGAAAAAAATCAAAATTGCAGAAGAACATTCGCAATTTAACTTTCAAACTGCAAAACCGAATGCTCTCGAATGTTGTAAACGTTTTAAGGTTATCATAAACATGGTAATCGTTAATCAAAATTTGTACGTTTATGTCTCTTTAAAAAAGTGATGGCGTTATTTTACTATTTTCGAGAATAAATGTTCTTTAAATTTTATAGAATTACATAGGTACTCCTGTATGTGTGATTTATGAATCCGTATTGAATTTTGACCCTTGACTTCCAGATTTTTGTGAAAAAAATCAAAATTGTATAACTACGTTTTACACAGTGGATCTTGCAAATATTTCAATATATATTATAAACAAAATTTGTCGACCATCTTACGATTTCGACGAATAAATGTTCTTCAAATTTGAACGTTTTTGGGAAAGAAGTTGAGTGTTGTTAATCAATTCTCTCCTCTGCGCTGAGAAGACAAAATCAATCAAATTTCATTTTTTAACCGCTCATGCTTATAATTTGAACGTGCTAATAAAGCATAACCATAAAGAGCTGAGGTCAAGCATGTACCGAGAAATTGAGAGTACGTATCTACATTTTTCCCCTTGATTATCTGCTTTGAATACATTTCATATTGTCGCATAATCAAATTTTATAATTTTCTAAAGATTCTGTAGGAAAAAGCAAAAATTAGGCCCACCCACCCACCCGTACGTCCTCACATTATTTTCTTCTGAAATAAGAAATAAATCTGAGCAATTACCATAACAAAAAAGTTACGATTCGTGTTTTTTTTTCCTATTAGTTCCCATTCCCATTCTACAGAAAATCCACAATTAACCCCGCCCACCCACCCCAACTCCAGTCCAGTGATTCATTTTATCTGGCCGCAATGAAAGGCGGATCTTATACTGAACAATAATAAAGTCGTTAGAATGAGAACAAGGCGAGTGGGGAGGCTACAATTTGCTAAGACAAAACTGATTTTGGCAAGTGAGATGTCCTCCAAGAATAGTAGAGGGCGGGTGGGCGGGGCTAGTTCTTGGTAAGATAAGAATAACTTTGGCAAATGACACATCCTCTAAGAAAATAGAGGCCGGGTGAGTGGGGCTATTACCTGTTAAGACTGATTTTGGTAAATGACATTCTCTAAAAAAGAGAAGGTGGGTGGGCGGGGCTAGTACTTGAAGGGCGAGCGAAATTCTGTCGAAATAATCTTTGACCAATTTTTATTATTTTATTAAATTTGAATAGGATTTACCTAGTACTATTTTGAGACGACGTCATCAAATTATTGGTGAGAATGAACTATAATAAATTTTGGATATCTACACGATAGTTTTAAACTATACCCAAAATTTAAAATTGAGGATACGAGACAGAAGATTTATACCTATTTAGTTCACATTAAAAGTAGTATAAATGTTAGTAAAACCGAAAGTTGTAAATAACAAGAGCTATATCCCCCGATGCTGTGTCTTGTTAATGGGCAATTCCACCGTTACTTAAGCTAAAATCGTACGAAACTCTGAAAAGTTTTTTTATTTTAAACTGTCCTCATAAGTGCTTTTACACTTTCATTTTTTAACCTAATCGTAAAGATTTGTTTTCTCTTTTTTCTTAATAATTTGATATTACTAAAGTCATATTTAATTTAGTCAAAATTTAATTAAAAGTTTGCATTACTTACGCGAAATCTTTGAACCTGCCTTCTCTGGAATTGATACATTTTCTCCATTTTCTATGGAATTGTGAATTATCATACAAAAACAGTTATATTGATAAGAAATTTAATTTTCGTGTTTTCAAAAACCGACAAGAAGTTTAATTTTGATTATGTCTGATTAGAAAAAAAATTACGTTACTTACACGATGTCATCGTTACTTACACGATTTGATTGTTTCTTACGGGAACTTGTGAATATTAGCATTTCCAGCATTTTCGAAAATTATAAAATTTGATTTTGCAAAGTTTATTTTTTATGAGAACCTCTATAAGTTGAAATAAACAAATGTATGTAATGTCAAAGTAAAAGGATTAAATGCTAAAAGAAAAAATATTCAAACATACCGAATTTACAATTTATTTACTTAATGACATTACCATCATTTGAAATTTCGATTTGTTTGTTTTTATTTTGGCTTTTCTCGCTTTTCTCCTTGCTATTTTCATGGTATCTTAACTTTTTTATAGCGTAATGTCTTTTTCTTTGTGCAGCTTATGTTTGCCCTATATTCCTGCTGATATTTTCGGTTGGTTGATTTTAGGTATTCTGAGTCTCTTTACTTTTTGTCGGTGTTTTCTTACTCTTTCAGTAGATGTTAAAGACATTTTGATTAACACAGCAAAATCAAATTATTGGTAGATTGACGGCTGCCAAGACTAATAATTATTTAATTTCAGAGCTAAGCCACCGAAAGAACATTATCCCGTTTCGCGTAAGTAACGATGCGATTTTTAATAATAATCACAAGGCAATTTCAATAAAAGTACAATGAAAATAGAGAGCGAGAACGAGAAAAAGAGATAATGTAACCTAATTTGCAATTATTTTTAATATTTCCGAATTACATGAAAATTAGTCCCTTATCGTTACTTACAACAATTATCACATATATCAGAAGAAAGAAGTGTAATATTTTTTTAAAGATGATGTTAGGATAAGTATTGATTGTACATTATTGTCAATAAAGGTACACTCTTTACCACCGTGTTTTATATTGTAAGTAAATCAAGATATTTACTTTGTTTCTAGCGATGTTAAAGAAGATATAATATCTATCATTTCTTTGAACAATTTTATTATTCCTCAATAACAAGACATTTTTACTGCGGGTGTTATGGTATTGTAAAAGCAAACATATGCCAGTAAAATTTAAAGTTTTTAGAAGTACTAATTGTAAGATTTAGATTAATTTAACAATTTTCAAAAAAATGTGCTGAGGTTGACATTTTCGTGGAATTGCCCTAATATTAATATAAATGTTGAAGTAACATTACTATTACTAATTTACATATACTAAATTGGAACTGCGTTTAAACTTGCAATTTCCGACCATCATAAATCACGACTTCGTTACCGTATAAAACCCTCCCCTCCCCGCCCAACTTTTTGTCTATAAACTTTTTATCCACCCCACCCACTAAAAATCCAGCGAAACCGAAAAAACTCAATCCCATATTAAATTATAGACATGCACACAAAAAAGGGACGCTTGAAAAGGATTTTTCTCGAAAACCCTCGGCAACGGTCTTCGTTGGGTTCATATTAATTCAGGGCGTGCATTCCATTTTATGGGCAACTCGGTCGGCGGTGGCGGATAGAGAGCAAGAGAGCCTCTCACGGCACGACGGCTAAAAGCTCCGCGCTAATGCACCCTCCTGCTACCCCTCCCACACCGCGCTATTCAAGAAAACAGTTCTCGACCTTGCGTCCCCTCACGTAAGGTCGCAATTCGTGTGTCAACGACGCTTCAGAGAATACCGTAAACGTTCAAGAGAAGACCGTCGCAATCGACTATGGTCGAAGAATAAAATTGGTGCTAGAGGGCGGTATGTGATGGATAAAGTTAAACTCCTACGCGCACTGGGAGGAGTTTATGGAGAGTGTTAGGGAGATGGATGGCAGCGACACCTTACGATGACTGGACTAACGTCCAAAAGAGGAAACTGCGATTTATGTAACACGCCCTCTATGTGTCACAGTGGAAAGACTAAAGAAACCTTGAACGCGCCATATAAATCGGCGTCTTTAAAAAAATGAATAATGTTTTTTTAACTACCACGTAATGTACTGTGTATAAATTTCATAACTGTTTTTATTGTCGAACTATAAGTGAGACTACCAAGGTTAGAGTAGACAGGTTGTCGTAACGACAAAGAGTGGGGGTAGTCGCCATGTTTGTACGTTAGCTAGTATGCCGTAAGCTGTCATGACTGTTCCTGTTTACCGTGAAAGCGTCACTTTAGTCAAAATTCCGTATATATCGAAATAATTATTACAAATGCCTGGCACCATTTGTAGTATCGCGTCTTGTAAGAACAACTACCTCCGCGCTAAAAAGGAAGGGAAACCCATCACGTTCTTCAATTTTCCCAAAGATCCCGAAATTCGGGCCGAATGGGTGAGGAGGTGTAAACGTGATGATAAATTTCACCCCAAATACAAGAGGGTCTGCAGTAAACACTTTGTTGAAGAGGACTACAAAGACATCATTAAAGCAAAAGTCATGAATGTTCCACCAAAAAAATTAAGAGCAACAGGTAATGACGTGTCTGAAGTAGACGAATTGCTCAATTGACTCGTGGTTTCAGCTGTGCCATCACTGTATCTTCCAGAAGAAGAAAGTGTTTCAGATGATTATCAAAATATGGCGGAAACACACAATATCAACATTCTACCAATCAAACTAGAAGCTACAGGTAACGGACTGTTTGGGGGTGATTTCCTATAATGACTGAAAAATTTCAGACTTACCGCTATTGTATTTTTTTGTTGAAGACGGTGCTGCGATTATAAAAACCATTCCAGAGAAAAACGCGACTGAGAAAAAAATTTTTGAATTTAAAAACGAGATTGTTCCTGATTTTTGTTCCACGTCACAGGAAATAGAAGTTCTACCATTTTATTAAAACAAAAAGTGGTCAACTGATTTTTGAGTTTGTCGTAATAAATTATTAAAAATTGACGCATTATTTGTAAATTATACAACACTTACCTGCAACCTCATATTAAGAAAGTCGATGGCAGGCGTAAGTCGGTTCGACAAAACAACATATTCACAATTAGCCGAACCATTCGGGCCCTTACAGGCAATCTGCCATAGATTACAACAAATTATCAACGTCCTGCAACAAAAATCGTTACTTTTAACCCTCTTCTACCTCAACAACCACTCACTTCAGCGATATCGAAGTATTATTAGACTCTTGCCCCATAGTTAACAACTTCCCCAAAACAGTAAATCCCCCAACATTCTGGAACATGATGAAATCATTATCCACACCTTTATTCAACAACCTTGTTAGCTCGTTAAGTATTCTGTCTAACTGACTAGAACTGGCCGGAGATAAGCCTTGACTAGCTTGATTAGTTAAAGAGCCGATTGTGTTCACACTCCTATTAAGACTCCTCTTATTGGCGCAGTCAACAGTATGAGGCTTATAAGAAGTTTCATACTCGGCCCCCTTGATCACCATTCTTTGTCTGATCTTCTTACAGCGCTTCTTGTGCGTTTTGCTGCGTTCTTTCGCCGCTACGACTTTAGGATCTTCTTTACCAGCAGGAGCGTCCACGATTTGTTTGAGATTGTATTGTTCGAGTTCGTTGCTGGTTAGGACCGCTGAGCCCGGATTGGCCTGCTTGACGGCTTCTTGGTGGGCGCGGCCGCGGAGGTGGCTCATTAAGTAAACTTCGGATTTAATCTAAAACCGAATTTTTGTATTGATGAGGCTGATACGTGTCTAAACTCCATATTAATTTTAATAATAATGAAAAAACTTTCAGTTTAAATAATATATTTGTAGTCACTGCTACACGTGTTTCGGTACACAGTACCGTCTTCAGGCAGAAGAGAAACTGGGGTTTTTACAGAGCTATTCCCGAATTTATACCTGATTTAGCTACTACTGTGTTACCTTTATCAGCTTTAGTAAAAATAATTTGGTTTTTAATAGACTTCTGTTTAATGTTTTTTGCTAAAATTAGTTCGTGATTGACGACTTGGTTTGTCTGCAAAGAGTTTTCTAGTCCTTTTTTTAATAAATATTTTAAATTTAAATCTTTGTAACTCTGTTTTTGGAAAATAGTTTCTGATTCTACTCCTAGGATTTCAATTTGGTGTTTATTATCTTTTGTATTAAATGAAATGTTGTGTTTAAAACCTTTGGATAAAAGTTTTAGTTCAGAATTTGTAAATACGGTTTGAGATAAGTTAATGAATCTTGGATGAAAAGAAAAATTGCATTGTATTTCAGCATTATTTGCATATTAAAAATACTGCAAAATGCAGGCTATAAAATTTCCTTCCGTACCAACAATTCTTTACATAAATTAATAAACAATAGTAAAGACAAGTCACCTAAGAAATCGAATTCTGGAGTTTACATGCTAAGTTGTAGTGACTGCCCCTTAGTATACATCGGACAAACAGGGAGAAAATTTGATGAAAGGATAAAAGAACATAAATCAGCATTTGTCAATAAAAAATCAAATTCTACGTACGCGAACCACCTTATCCAAGAACAGCATAATTTCAACGACGAATTCAAAATTTTACACATAGAAAATAAAGGCGCAAAATTAAACACGTTAGAATGTCTGGAAATAAATAGGTACAATAGATTAAATACACTAATGAACGACCAAACCGAAATAAACAAATCTCCCTTACTTAACATAAATTTGTAAACACTATTGTTAAATCAGGTATAAATTCAGGAATAGCTCTGTAAAAACCCCAGTTTCTCTTCTGCCTGAAGACGGTACTGTGTACCGAAACACGTGTAGCAGTGACTACAAATATATTATTTAAACCCTGAAAGTTTTTTCATTGTTATTAAAATTAAAACCGAATTGTTTTATACAATTTAATAGTAGGCAAATCGTACTCACCAAAGTATTGCAAACCGTGCAGAACTTCTGCGTCGGGTAGGGTGTGCTATTCGGCGCTTGGTCATCATCGTTGTGACACCGATGTATCGACAATTCCAGCGCCTTCTGCCTGATCTGCTCCATATTTTCTTCGTGCCGCCGCTTCGACTCCTCCTGCTTTTGCTCGATCCGCTTCTGCAACTCTTGCGTGGACGCCAGCTGTTGGGCGTGAAGAGCCGACAGTCTCTCTTCCCTATCCCTAGCCTTCTCCCTCGCGAGTTCCTGCCGCTCCCTCTCTCTTTGCTGCTGCTGCTGGAAAATCCTCTCATCCCTCTGCCTACGCTCGTCCTTCAGACGATCCAAGCGCTCCTTCCGTTCGCGCTCGCGCGCCTTTCGTCTCTCTTCCACCGCGGCCTCTTTGGCCGCCTTCTCCTCAAGCTTCTTCTTCCTGTCTTCTTTCAACCCCTGGATGCGTCCGCGCTGCTCACGACACGACTGCAAGAAATCGTGACGTTTGTTTTGGGCTTCTAGTTCATTGATGAAGGCGATTTCTTTCAGTTTCTCTTCTTCGTCGTGCGCTTTCTTTATTATGTCTTTGATGTAGCGTCGCCGGTTTTGGGTGGCTTTCTGCAAACGCGATTCCATGCGTTTCTTTTTTTCCTCGATGAGTTGGAGTTTAGCTGCTTTGACGTCTTCCACGCGACAAATTAAGGCGTGGAGTTTTTGGGCTTTTTCTTGTTGGAGGTCTTGGCGGCGTTGTTGAGCCCGAGCTTGTTTGGCCTTTTCACACACACAAAAAAAAATAATCGGTTTCGGTAAATCAATTAATCAACCTACCTGATACTTCTTAATGGCTTCAGTCAAACTAATCTTCCTCGCTGGATTCGACAACTTCTGGTGGAGCTCCAAAGCCCTTCCCGGGTGTCGCGCGTTCAAATCTTCCAAAGCTGCCAATGTGTCAATTCGGTCGCTCCACGACATGGCTGCCAACATAGGTTCATATCTGGCCTCTAGAGACATAGAGTCGTCTTCTTCGTTCGTCGGTTGTAAATGGACGTCTTCATTATCACCCTGCCATTCACCGTCAGTCTCAGTTCCATCAGTCTCTGTATCAACTTCAATTTCCAAGCATTTCAGTTGTTCGATTTCCTTATTCAGACGGTCTTCTTCTTCGGATAGCTGTTTCGCTTTCTTCCTGTGCTCTTCCTCAGTCGCTGAGTCTTCTTGTAGGTTGAATTTCGCTTCGTCGTCGGTCTCCGAATCGATATCCGATACCTTCATCCGTCTTTCTTCTGCAGTCTTCTTAATATGGAGATTGGTTTTGTTCTTTTCAAGGATGGAGTTTTTCGAGATCGTTAATTTACTTAACGTAGTGTGAGATCGTCGCAAGGGCATTTTCCCTTGGTCTTTCAAAGACTTGAAAGTGTTTAAGTTTTCTTTGACACTTTTGTCAATGCACTTTGGAGTTTTAGTACCTTCGTTGTTTTCGGGCAGAAGGGCTAGTGCAGGGAGACTTGCAGTTGCACTGACTTGATGGAATCTAGTAGCCCAAGTCAGTGCAGTGTCGGATCTGCGTGACTTATTGTTACTATTCTTGAATCTAGAACGACACTTAACCGTCAACCATCCATCCGAGTGCAAATTATCGCTCTTCGTATTATCATTATTAAGAGTTTCTGAAGAACTAGCGATACTATTACTAGAATTAGTAACCATAATATTCTCAGTACTTTTCCCTTGATTGACTAAAGTTTCCACAGAACTGGCATACTCGTTAAGCGAAGCCGACTTAAAGTGCTCTCTAGTCAAAGTTGTCTTACTTTTAGCAAGTACAGGTCCCGATTTTTGTTTATTTAGAGAAAATCTCGAGTGAGTTTCGAACCGTGACATGACTTTAGGCTTGTCGTACCCCGTTTTGACGCTCTTCATATCACCAACAGTCTTACTCCTGGCCAAACCTGCCCGCACGGGTACCACAGCGGAAGTTCTAGCACTAACCGGTTTCATCGGTTTAACAACCGGTTTCACGGCTACTTTAACCTCGACTTTAGGTTTCACGGTCGTCACAGCTTTCGCCGAAAAGCTTTTAGTCAAAGCTGTAGAGTAAGCCGGTCTTGTGGTGGCCGTCACAGGCTTAGTAACCTTAGGTTCGACTTTCGTCACCTTGTTAACCGGACTCGAAATTTTCTTTTCGGTTTCGTCGGTCTGAGATTCCTGGCTTACTTTTTCGGAAGATTTTTTCGTCGACGGTAATTTGGGGAAATCTTCAGTGCTAGTGCTTTTCTCTATAGTTTGTGCCTGAGTTTCTTCAGGAGATTCGTTAACATCGTCGATTTTCTCCACACTTTGTGCGACATCTTCAGTGCTTTTCTTGAGTTGAGTTTTGGGTTTGTTGGTGTCGACTTTCGGTTTGACTTGCTTAGAAGCGTCTTTTTTCATTAGAAGACCGGTGGTTTTTGCTTCTTTGGGTTTAGTGAGGGCGGGTTTTGGTTTAGTTTCAAGGGTTTTGCTGGTGTTAGGTTCTCCAAGTTTTCTTTTTGCTAGAGGCGACTTGACAGCCTTCGGCTGTTCGCTTTTTTCTTCGTTCTCGGTTTGGCTTTCCGCCGTCTTAGTTTCGGGTTTGGTTTCGACGTCTTCAGGCGTGGTTTGAGTGTCTACGCTTTCCATTTTTTTGAATGTTGGTGTTTCTATGATTTTGCCTTCTATTATAGGCTGGTCTATGGATGGTAAAGGACTGGTTGGTGCCGAAGTTGAGCCTTTTATTTTTGTGGATAGAATTCTAGGGCTTACTTTGCCCGATACGTTGGGACTGTTGCGTCCAGAACCTACATTGGGACTTGATTTGCCCGAACGATTGTTGCTTTTGGTTAGATTGGTTTTGCAGATGTCCCAAGTGAGGGACGTTGGTCTTTGCAAAGGTGGGGTGTTTTCGTAGTCCCATTTGAGACGGAACCAATCGGCTAAGGCATTGAAATCTCTTAAATAATTCTCTAAAACTAGTAATACTTCTTGGCATTCGGTAATACTTTCGTGGGTTTCTACGGTGTTGTAAATCTCAGCAATCTAAAATTAGCGGACTTAGAAACGGAAATGCCGTGTTGTAAATACAGATGAAAGTATAGGTTCATTACAAATTCATTATATAAGTACGGTACTTTCGCCACAAGAAAGTGTAAAATGGATGCAATATAACCGGACAAGATTTTCTATTGGCATTTTTGTTTTTTGAAAATTTTTAGACCAACTGTATTGTTTGGTTCGATTTTATTTTTTAGAGAACTTAGAATACATAGACATACAACTGAAAGGACGTTTTTATTTCGTGCATTCCTTACATTAAATGATTCATGTCTCAGAAATATACTTTTATAGAGAAAGAAAATCTCAAAAATTTAGAATTTTGACGATCTGCGTTAACTAAATTCATTTTTGGTTGACTTATTTTCAAGTGGAAGCTTATAAATTTATTGATAAAATTGTATAAATGAACGAACTGTCTACAAATTTAATGTCTTGAAGCACTTACTTATTTTTATGAATACAGAAATAGAAACAACGCAGAAACTATATTTAAGCAAATACATTAAAAAAAAAAGTAGGAATCACGTAAATATGTATAATTTTATTCAGTGCATTGGTAAATTTATTTTTTTTTTTTGCATTTTCGTTATTACATGAAAATTCGCTGTGACTCCAAAAATAAGTAAATTAAATCACAAACTTGTGGTGGGGTTAATTACAATATAGATAATAATAAATAAATCCACAATCTATGTTCGTTAATTTCCACGTTATAGAACTGCTCTCTTTGCAATATACATATACTCACTGGTTAATTTTTTACCATTCTGTGAATTTTCAGTTGTAAACACAAAGCCAACATGTAATAAACCCATAATCATAATTACTATTATCACTACCCCTACGTACAGATCTCTGTAAGTTTCCGAAGAGCAGCGCCCAATAGCGGGCCCTCAGTTCAGACCTCTTGTCTCTTCCAGTCGAAGCAGATCGGACCCTGGCCCCAGTCCTTGGCCGGACCCCCATGTTAAGTTTCACGTTTGGTTGAGTTTCAGAAATCCTGGGCGGACACGGAGGTTTTCGCGAAACCTTGCCTAAAAATAACGTCTTAACACCTTCTTCCTTTGTTTGCTTAACGATCTTACTTCCAAAGTTGTCGTTGAAGGGCGAAATGTTGAAAGTAAGAAGATTCCTAGCTTCACGTCCCTGTTCTTGCACTAACAGTCGCACTTGTTCCATTTTCTGGTTTTTGTGAACATTTAACGCACAAAAGTGATGATTTTTCGAGTTTTTTGCATCACATTTGATTGATGTTTGAATTTTTGACAGATCTTTGACGGTTTCACAACAAGCGCCATGCTGGTTTTCGAACAGCTGATTCTAGGTGGATGCGCGCGGTTCCACCAAGGTTGGAAGATTATATTAATCTATTGATTTTGTTTTATGTAAGATATTACTGCAAAAATACAACGATTAGTTCATTACACTTTTGTATGTATTTATCAAAGTTGGGTTACTTTTTTTTTATACGTTAAGTTTCGAAAAGTACAATCCGTTAATGAATGCGCAACAACTGTGAGCTTTGGTGGAATTGTAGCCAACATTCCAGACCAGAATGAATCATGAGTTTTTTTATAGAAATTTTCGGTTTTAGTAACTATTATGCACTTATTAGTCACTTTTATTATTACCAACCTGATATTTAAAGCTTTTACATTTGTACTTTTTTATTTTTCAATAAGGAAACGTTATTGCCAGATCGCTACATAAATCTGTTTAAATGGTTGCCTATTTTAACAAGCTCAAATTGTGAATCATACAGAATTTTAAAAAAAAACAACGAAGAAATTTATTTTATTGAACCAAACAACAAAATAACTAATTTTCTTAAAATTCTGCTAGTACAATATTACCCATATTAATAGGTATTAGACTGTAGGTGTCAAAATTAGTATATTTGTTTCCTAACAATAAATCAAATTTGCACACTTAAATTGCATAATTTGTGTAGGAAACGGATTTGTGTAAAATATTGATAAGATACTGATACTGTTTTAGTGGTTAAATAACATTAACGAAATTGTATTTATCTTCTTCAAAAAACTAAAAAAATAATATAAAACAAATAATTAGTAAAATTACATATACTCTGGCGTTTTTCTCACTGTTATAAACTTTGTGTCAAAAAATTAATCAGCTCTAAACTGACTCCTATTTATATAAACAGTATGAAAAAACATATCTTTCCCAATACAAAATTTTAATGAAGTAATTTCATTAGGAATAACTACTAGAAGTTTAACTACCGAAAGAAGTTCTTAATTTGTTTTCAAGGACTACTTTCGGCTTTTGTGCTTTAATTTTGTGGATACAAACCTGACGTAATTAATTGTGTACATAGTGATCATTTCAATTTGAATATATAAACATATTTCTTTCACAATACCTCTTTGCTTCACAAAATACCAATTGTAATATGTGTTAGGTCAGGTTTATTGAAAGCCGAATTTTGTAGGTAGCTTACAAGAATACACAATAACGTAACATAGAAGCAAATTATTTTACTCATTACTTGTCAAATTTTGAAATGACGGCATTAAATTTTTGGTGGGGATGATCAGGCAAATCATATTTTAGGAATTATTTATCTAATATGAATTATTCTAGAAGTTATCTGGATCCAAATTATGTGCATAACTGCAACATTTTAATTATGGTTTAGAAAAAAGGCAGTAGATATGGCAATAAAAATCAAGAAAAAATACGAATATAACAAAATACCTAATAAAGGATAATATTTTTTAAAACAATATGCATCCCATAAGCAATAAGATATTTTTTGCTAAATTGTAGGTACCTATATTTCCAAATGAGAGATTAAATCATCGAGCGATTAACTTTCAAGTTTAATGTGAAATAATCTCCTTTTTATATTCCTTAAAGTTTTTTTAAAATTGTTAAATATCCAAGGCGTGCATGCCACAAAAAGCTCATATTTTCTAATAAATTATTAACACCTGATAATTTTCAAGTCATGATTCTTCTCGGCAATTATTCTGGACAGGTTTTCCAACGCATGGGATCGCCGGAGAGTAGTCACAAATAAAACCCACCAGTTCAAGGTCACTGTCAATATTTAAATTTGAGTAAGTAGGTTATAGTATTTACGTCGCGTTTAACGACTGCTATACTCCTCAGGAATGCAAATTATCAACGCGGAACTTCTTTGTACTTTGTTTACAAAACATCAGGTATGTTCGCAGGCTACCAACTCGATGCAAAACCGCAAATTTCAATTAATCGCGGTTGACCAACAACGTAAGGTTGCATCTGATTTTAATTGTACCAAATTACCGGGAAATTGTGGGTTGGATGCGACTGCTCGTAGTAGATGTAACGTATCATCTCCTAATATTAAACAAGATGCAGAGGTGCTAAGTCATTAAGGTTGTTCTCTTGACCTTGTACCATGGGATTCCCAGTCAGTGCAATAACATCCTCGACCCTCAGAACGCCATTTCTAGCCTAGCGGACTGCGGTGTCGTCGTCTACAATTTATAACGAAATGACCGCAAACAATAGTAATTTATTCATATTACGCCAAAAATTTGGCACGCTGTGTGATTTACCGATGATTAAGATGTCAATTGCATAAATTGTTATTAAAAAATGTACGACGCAGAAAAGTTGGTTTTGAGAAAAATCCATTACAGAGGTGTGCTGGAACCAAATTCCCAAAGTTTACACATCCTACTATTCACTGACTAAAAATAATATAAAAAGCTTAATAAACATAATTAAGTTGTTTATTTCACTTTCACTGGTTTTTTAGGTGTTAACAGCACCGAATTTTTAAACTTGTTGATCATCACATTTGATTCAAATGTTTTAAATTTATTTAAAATTCGATTTTTCGCTTAAAAATGTATTTATTATATGTACATTATAGATAACCAAATATTAAAAAAAAGACGTCTTTATTTGTCATGCTCATGACATTGGTTCACTATTAATCTAAAATTCAGAAAACAAGAATAAACTGATGACTTCATGGTATGAAATTGTTTGCACTATGTTAATTTTTCTTTTTTTACTGTTTAAAATAAATTAGAAGAGCCATTGCATATATTAATTTTAACTTGCTTAAATATTTTTATTACTTAATATCTTACCTAATTGGTCTAATTCTTCACAACTGCTGTCTGAGTGAAAAATAAATTAGAAGAAAAAAATGACTGATTTCATGTTTCTCAACGTGTCATAACCTCCGAAGTGTGAAAAAGTAGTCTTCCCGCGTCCGTCTATGTGTCATTGGTCCATATAGACCAATAATCTCCAAAACTACTGATCTGATGGTTGTTGAAATTTTAGATGAATTTTAAAAATATCGTGTGGATGGCAACACGGTAACAACAATTTGTTCCCACAATTAATCGGACGATGTGATTTTAAAATTTTCCTAGTTAAATCTACTGAATTTTTATCAAATAGCATACTTTTTTGCTTGTAGTTTATAATTTTTTGTTATTTTTATCGTAGACATCTAGATTTTTGAAAAATATCTTTAAAATTGTGGAACAACTTTTGCAATTTAACTTAAAAACTATAAGACCGTCCAGATATATTACAAACAGTTTCGAGGTTGTCATAAACATGGTAAATCACTAATAAATTTTTTACCGTCTCAGAAAACTTAATGACGTTTCAAACTTTTGCTGACTAAAATGTGCTTAAGAATATAGGGCTACATATGGATTTGTCAGTGAACTTGTATTTTTAAAGTCAATCAGTCACTCAAATTATTTTAAAGATTGTAAAAGAGTCTTGGATCTTCTTGTGTTTAATTTTTTCAATATACTGAAAAAATTTCGGGAATCCTTGTTTTTTTTTGAGAAGTTTAAAGGAATGGTAGGGTCCTTTAATGTTTTTTTTTATGTGTGAAAGATTTTGAGAAAACCTCTGGATCGCTATTACATTATTTTTGAAAGAGTTTAACCGAAATGTTTCCATAAAATCTTCCATAACCAAAAAAAAATAAAATTCGCAAAAGCAAATTTTATAATTCATCTAAGAAGCTGAACCTGTTTTATTGCCTGTGCTGTGTACAATAATGAAGTAAGTGCGATTTTGTATGCATTGCTTTCAGAAAATTTATGACGTAATATCAAAAACTAATAAATAAATCATGCTTTTATTTTTTCAGAACTGCTGCTGCAAGACCTTTAAATCTTGTAGATTTAGACTTGTAGAAGTTATTTTCGGCTTCATTTTTTCGAAAATTCCAACTTTTTCCCGAATCGATAAAACACCAATTTTCGAGATATATTTTAAAATTTAATTTTCAAACCAAATTTTGGAAAATCTTGGTCTGAGACCATCAACAAGTTATCTTTTTCGAATCAGCTTGGTGAAATGTGTTTCCTCAAATTTTTTGACGATTTTTAGACAACTTTCCAACAATCCCAATTTTTTAATACTCTCCCGTATGAATTTTTGACTGTTTTTCGAGCTTTGGAGACATATTTAAAAATTTAATTTTGAACGGAATTTTTCTAAAATTTTGATCAAGGACCATCAGCAAGTTATGTTTTACGAAGCAGTTGTCGAAATGTACTTCTCAGGATTTTTTGAGAATTTGTGGGCAATTTTTCAATAATCTCAATTTTCAATACTCCATGGATGAACTTTTTGACCGTTTTTCGAGCACCCTTCGAAAATTATCTAAAGACATTTTCCTCTAGATTTCAACTTGCAGGATTTACTTTCGGCTTCGTTTCTTCAAAAATTGCAAAAATTATTTCAATTACTTATTTTTCAAATTCAATTTTATGGAATTTTTCGAAAGTCTTGGTTCGAGACCATCAGCAAGTTATGTTTTTCGAATTAGGACGTCAAAATGTATTTCCCAGAAATTTTTTAAGCGTTTTTATGCGATTTTTAAAAATCTCTTAAACATTTTTTAGCACGCTTTGAAAATTATAAGTATAAAAACATTTTGTAGTAGCTTTCGACTTGCAAAAGTTATTTTCGGCTTAATTTTTTTGAAAGTTTCAACAATTTTTCCTGAATTGATAAAATGATAAATGACAAATTTCGACTTGGTTAAAAAATTTCATTTTCAAACCGAATTTTACCGATTTTTTCGAAAGTCTTGGTCCGGGAAAGTTATGTTTTAGTGTCAAATCGTCGAAATGTATTTCCCAGAATTTTTCGAAGATTTTTAGGTAATTTCGAACTTTTCAAAAATCTCAATGTATTAATACTCTCCCCCCATGAACTTTTTGACCGTTTTTTCAAAAATCCTAGTCCGGAACTATCAACAAGTTGTTTTTCAAATCAGCTTGGAGAAATGTGTTTCCAACAATTTTTTGAGGACTTTTAGGCAACTTTTCAAAAATCTGATTTTTTTTTCAATCTCTTCCGTGTGAATTTTTTGACTTTTTATCGAACACTCTTCGAAAATTACCCAAAGATATTTTTTTTACATTTTCGAAACTCAACTAAACACATTTTCTTGTAGATTTTGAGCTCTAGAACTCAAACCCGGCTTCAGATTTTTGATACCTGAAACCATTTTTCCAGAATCGACTGTAGAAATTTCGAAATTTTTGAAATTTTTAAAAATTTGCATTTTGCAGGGATTTTTTCGAAAATGTTGCTTCGTGACCATCAACATGTTATATTTTTGGAATCAGTGTGTCGAGATGTACGTCCCTGAATTTTTTCGTAATTTTTAGACAACTTTTTTAAAATTGAAATTTTTTAATGGTCCCCACTTCTTCAAATTTCGCAAAAATTTTGACATTTTCGAAACTCAACTAAACCCATTTTCTTGTAGAATTCGAGCTCTAGAACTCAAATCCGGCTTCGGATTTTTGATACCTGAAACCGTTTTTCCAGAATCGACCGTAGAAATTTCGAAATTTTTGAAATTTTCAAAAATTCGCGTTTCGCAGCGATTTTTTCGAAAATGTTGCTTCGTGACCATCAACATGCTATATTTTTGGAATCAGCATGTCGAGATCTACATCCCTGAATTTTTTCATAATTTTTAGACAACTTTTTTAAAACTGAAATTTTTTAATGGTCAAATTTCGCAAAAATTTTTACATTTTCGAAACTCAACTAAACTCATTTTCTTGTAGATTTCGAGCGCTAGAACTCAAATCCGGCTTCGGATTGTTGATACCTGAAACCGTTTTTCCAGAATCGACCGTAGAAATTTCGAAATTTTTGAAATTTTCAAAAATTCGCATTTCACAGCGATTTTTTCGAAAATGTTGCTTCGTGACTATCAACATGCTATATTTTTGGAATCAGCGTGTCGAGATCTAGGTTCTTGAATTTTTTCAAAATTTTAAGACAACTTTTTTAAAATTGAATTTTTGTAATGGTCCCCCCTTCTTCAAATTTCGCAAAAATTTTGACATTTTCGAAACTCAACTAAACCCATTTTCTTGTAGATTTCGAGCTCTAGAACTCAAACCCGGCTTCAGATTTTTGATACCTGGAACCGTTTTTCCAGAATCGACTGTGGAAATTTCGAAATTTTTGAAATTTTTAAAAATTCGCATTTTGCAGGGATTTTTTCGAAAATGTTGCTTCGTGACCATCAACATGTTATGTTTTTGGAATCAGCGTGTCAAGATGTACGTCCCTAAATTTTTTCGTAATTTATAGACAACTTTTTTAAAATTGAAATTTTTTAATGGTCCCCACTTCTTCAAATTTCGCTAAAATGTTGACATTTTCGAAACTCAACTAAACCCATTTTCTTGTAGATTTCGAGCTCTAGAACTCAAATCCGGCTTCGGTTTTTTGATACCTGCAACCGTTTTTCCAGAATCGACGATTTCCCGATTCGCAGAGATTTTTTCGAAAATGTTGCTTCGTGACCATCAACATGCGATATTTTTGAACTTGTAGAAGCTTTTCTGGTTTCATTTTTTCAAAAATCGCAAAAATTTTTCACAGAAGATAAAATGGAAAATGATCATTTTCGAGTTATTTAAAAAATTACATTTTCAAACCGAATTTTATCGAATTTTTCGAAAAATCCTAGCCCGGGACCATCAGCAAGTTATGTTTTGTTCAAATGAGCTGATCGAAAAGTTTTTCTCAGAATGTTTTGAGGATTTCAGTCAACTTTTCGGCAATTTCACTTTTTTGATAACCTCCCAGATGAATTTTTGACTGTTTTTTGAGCTGTCGAGATATTTAAAAATTCAATTTTCAACCGAACCGATTTTTTTCAAAAATTTTGGTCCAGTACTATCAACATGGATCAGTTCATCGAGATCTATATCCCAGAATTATTTGAGGATTTTTAGGCAACTTTTGAAAAATATCAATTTTTCCATACCCCTCATTTTTCGAGCATTCTTTGAAAATTATCCAAAGACATTTTCTTGTATATTTCGACTTGTAGAAGTTTCTTTTAGGTTCATTTCTTCAAAAATTTCATTAATTTTTCCAAAACCGGCAAAACGAAAAATGGCAATTTTCCAAATATTTAAAAAATTTCATTTTCAAACTGAATTTTACCGAATTTTTCAGAAGTCTTGGTCGGAGACAATCAGCAAGTTATATCCTTCGAGTTAACTCGTCGAAATGTATTTCCCAAAATTTTTCTAGAATTTTTAGGTAGGTAACTTTTGAACTTTTCAAAAATCTTCAATATATCAATACCCTACCCCTACGAATTTTGTGACGGTTTTTTCAAAAATTCTAGTCCGGAACTATCAACAAGTTATTTTTTTCTAACTAACTCATCGAAAAGCATTTCCCAGATTTTTTTGAGAATTTTTAGGTAATTTTTCAAAAATCTTGATTTTTCAATATCCTGCCCTATGAGTTTCTTGACCACTTTTCGAGTATCTTCGAAAATTATGTTGTAACGAAGCGAATTTTCGCGGGCCGGAAACCGTGGCGCGTACCGCGAAAGCCGGGGGTAAATTCGCGATCGCAGCGCCGCCGCGGCGAAGGAAGAGACTCTTGCCTGAAACTCCAGAGAGTGCGGAAGTTTGTGGCTGCTGTTTTGCGATTTTGAGAAGTGAGAAGTCTGCAGTTGACCCTCCGACCACCGTAAGTACCTTTTTGGGTCGCCTGCCTGTTTTGTACCGGTTTTAGAATCGCCGCCCCCGAGCGAGAAACCGTGTCACCGTCACCGCGTTTTTTTTGTCACCGTCGAAAGCCGAAACCGTCGTGCACGCGTCGTTACCGTCACCGCGCTCCCCTCCCGGGTCGCCGTACCGTCGTTGCGCGATTTCCAGGTTCAAGGTCGCCGCCCCCAGAGCCAAGAGGAGCCCGACTTGAAGGAGGTCGCCGCCCAGGAGGAACGACCGTGCCGGACATTTAATTTTTTTTTTTTGTTGTAAAACCGTTTTGTAGTTATTTAAGTTGATTAGCCGTAAGATTTATTATCTTAGAACGTGTAGCTGGTGGCAGGGAATAAACCCTATTTTTGTTATCACACATCCTTGCCGTTTTATTTCGTATTCTCGAGTTTTCGCGGCGGCTCATCACCTGAATTCCGTGTCTCCGGCTTTAGAGCACCCCGGCGCTCCCTCCCCCGGAGAGGGAGCTGGCGCCCGAGCGACCGCCGCTCCTGACCGAAGGCGCCACCCCCGGCGGCGTGAAGGTAGCCGCATAAGCTTGGTCGACCAGACGTGTTTCTGACATCAGCGATACTAGTCGACCCAAAGCTTGGCACTCAAGTACGCCGCCAGCCCATACGTTATCGGCGAGATTCCGGACCGTCACCGGACCGTCCGTCCCCATCATCCGGAATTTCGTCGCAATGTTAAGACATTCTTGAAAATTTCGACTCTAGAAATTATTTAAAAAATTTCATATTCAGGTCGAATTTTGTAAAATCTTGGTCTGGTATCATCAACGTCTGATGTTTCTCGAAACACCTCGTCGAAATTTATTATTATTTCTTAGAATTTTAGGAAATTTTTTAAAAATATTAATTTTTTAATACCCTCCCGTAAGAATTTTTTTGACGCTTTTTAGGACACTTTTCGAAAATCAGCTAGACAATTTCATGTAGATTTGTTTTGTCGAAGTTATTTTCAGCTTCATTTCTTCGAAAACAATATTTCAAGAAAAAAATTCAAACCAAATTTTGGAAACTCTTGGTCAGAGACCATCAACACGTTATATCTTTTAATTCAGCTCGTCGAGATCAGTATTTTCTAAGGATTTTTAGGCAAATTTTCAAAAATTTTAATCCTAAGAAGATGTATCACATTTTAACGTTCAAAAAAAATAAACAAAATTTTAGTGTAATTCACATCGATGACCCAACACACCGGCGATGTCTCACTTTTTACGGGACAGCCTGTATATCAACGAAAACTTTACACATGGGACCGTTATTTATTGCACTTCAGAAGCCAAGGAAATACAAAACATATAAACCATCTGACATTTCTTAATTCACGGTCGTAATCTAAATTTTAAAACTCGACTGTGAAACGAATGAAATACTAATTTGGGATATAAGTCACCTTTTCTGCAATAAAAATCAATATGTTACAATTATTATAAAATATCTGGTGGATGACCGCATTTCTATATCTAAATTGTGATCCTGAGACGAAAAATGTGTCAGATTTAAATCACTTTCTAGAGTCTTTTAAAACAATGCATAAAACATGAGTTAAAAATCTCAAAAGCTCTCCATGTAATTTTCTTGAAATTCAGGTCATCCAATAACTTTATAATTAGAGTTCCATCGTATATTTTTTACTTTCACACAACGAAGTAGAAGAACTTATGCAGTTTCCAGGTAAAACGATTTTTTTGTATCAAATGTCTTACTACTTAGCTACTTACTATAAACATAACTTTTTTTTATTTTTGTAAATAAATAACACGATAAATACTTAAAAATGTATTTAATTTAAATGTCTTACAATTAGATTTTACACACCAAAAATAAATAATGAACATCAGTACCTAACTCTTAATGATAATAACCGCCCTTTTTATAACCTCCTCCATAATAACCCCCTCTGTACCCTCCTCCTCCCCGCCTCCATCCTCCTCCGTGCCCGTACCCACCCCCATATCCATACCCTCCGCCGTGGCCACGGTTGCGCCATCCACTTTCAGCAGTAGCAAGAATTTCAGCATTTTCAGGCACACTCACATGGATCGGAGCAACTTCAGGCTGTACCACCACAGCCATCACTTTTTGCAGTGGTTGTTGTGCAGGCAGACAAACACAACAGACCGCCAAGAAGGCCAAAATAACCAACTCCTAGACATTAAACAAATGAAAGCACTTTAAGACTTTGATATCAATGATGGTTTACCTTGATCATGGTTAGTGGTTGTTGCAGCTCTTGAAACACTGGTATAAAGCCCCGAAGAGTCCGGTTCTTCTATATAAGCACTATTAACTGTTTTTTTTTTCGTTTTGTTAAGATATAATGATGCGGTTGACCGGGAATAGCCATTGGAAACCTGATTGTTTACCACTTTTACCAGCGTGTGTCCAGTAGATGTTTAGTTCGTTGGGAATGCTTTATGTAAAAAATCGGATAATATTAATATCAGTACCAATCGATGGGTGCGATTCGTGTAAGTTTCAGTTTGTAGAAATGGTGATGTGCCAAATTTACACGATGTAGTAGTGGAGGAATTTTAGAGGGGAAATAATTTATCATTTTAATTGTTATTGTTTTATCTTTGTCACTTAGATGAAAATGGAAGGAAATGGATTGCTTTTAAGAGTACCGTTAAAATTGGGAATTTGAAATGGCTCGTTTAAATTATGTAGGAGATAATTATTAGACCCTTCAAACAAAATAAAAATATATATTACTCTCTTTTTTGTTATTACTTTTTTTTTTATAAAAAGTGAGTTGGCAATTTATTAGTGAAGAATTTGTCTCGCTTGTGAAGCGTAACGACACTCTTGCAGGTCGAACAGAATTTTCAGTACAGATTTGTTTAATTTTTTTTTTCAGAGAATATTTGACGGTTTAGTCAAATAAACCGTACAGAGTATCATAAAATTTGGAACATGCTTCTTCCACATTATCGATATTGGGTATTTATGGAACCCCAATCAATAGCCAAAAGTTGTTGTTCAAGCTGTTCATTTGAACAACTTGTGAGGCGCGAAAAGAGATTTTGTTCAAATTTATAGACAGATGAGGATGATGTAGATCTTCATCAACTAATGAAGAGAAGGCTTTATCAACCGAACAATAATTAAGATTGGAAAAAATAAGTCCAGAAGATAATTGTTACAATTAATAATTGAATTGCATTGGGAGAATCCATAGAATGTTTTAAAAATATTTAATGCCTCACAAAAACTGTCACTATGGATGCTTGCATAATTAGGAGTACTGAAATCACCCATCACTAAAAGTGATTGTTATTCGAAAAATTCTCAAGGAAACTAAATGAGGCAAAAGATAAATCGAATTGCTGGAATGAAATGTGAGATGGAATATATTAAACAATAATACATAAAGTATGACAATTATCAATAATAATCACTCTTTCTAATTAAGTGTCCTCTGAATAGCGTCTTGAAAATTGTTTTCTTTGTTTATAGGGGATGCTTATTTGTCAAAATGTGTTCGTTAACATACAACTTTTTGAAAAGGAAACGTTCTATGAAAATTATTTTTATTCAGTTATTTTCAATGAACAATATATTATAATTGCAAAAATTGCTGCAGGCATTTTACAAATATTTTAAACTGAACAAATTTATTATTGAAGTTGAGTTAATATTTACACATACAAAAAATATGAAGGTTTAATTACCACAAGGAGTCTTAAATTTTAACAAGATACGTTCTCTAAAATACACGTTTTCAAGAAATTTATGTTGAACAGGTTCACGAAGTCGAGAACTGATAATGACAGTTCAAAATAAAAAAAGCGCATTTTAATATAGACCTGATAACGGCAAAGAAGAAAGTTTTAAGGCTTATTAATATTCAAATAACTTTTAGTATTCTAATAATTTATATCTAATATTTGGATGTTGCATGGTCATAACGGTTTATAATCGATAACCCTGGGTCAAAAATTGATCAGTCCCATTTTTCTTGGAACTAATTATCCGGATCATAGTTTTATGGTACGCACATAATGATTCATGGAACCGTTCCTGTTTTCAGTTAGTTTAAAATCGTTTGTACAATCTCTATTTGTTCTGCAAATTTAGTCAGAAAAAGTTAGTTTAAACAATTGTTTTAAGTTGTTTAAACTAATTTTTACAAAACTTTCTTCTTGATTTTTTTTACCAACAAAATACTGCTTCTAAAATAAATTTGAAAATGTAGCAGTGTCTCAAAAATTGGGTAAATTCAAACATTCTGGTTTCAGATAACTGCAGCGATATTTGCTGTCAATCAAATCCTTGCACATGCATTTGTTAAACTGTTTATTTTAATTCAACCACACTAAAGTATAAATTACTACTTAAACCCACAAGTTTTTCACGATTATTAAACATCATCTTTGTTATCTGATTTTATCTTTTCCTGCTAATAATTCAAACAAACAACACACCTTCATTCTTACTTGTAAAATAAAAATCCCCTAAAAGTAATTTTCTATGTCAACATAAACAACAATTACACTAAACGAAAATTAGTACAGTGTTGACAAGGTCATTCGTGAACTTTGGAATCTCGCATTATCCTTCGTTGAAGTTAGAACACTGTAACAATTATTTAATTTAAGGTATATTTAATAATAAAAAAAAAACGATGAATGGATGAAGTTCCGACATAGTTAATCATTAGAAAGATTATTAATAACTTTCTGTCGAAGATGAAGTTAAAGGCGTATTGTCTTTCATGGTAATGAAGACAATAAATAACGACATAAAAAGACAAAATTCCCCCATAAAAATTTTATGTGTTGACGACAATAATAATTATTTACCTTGCAACATTGTATACAGCATCCAAGGAAGGCTATTCATGAAATGATTTAAAAGTCAACTAATAATACATTTAGCTACTGTAATTATAATACAGGGTAGAATATTCCAATGCATAATTCAATTTCTGAAACTTTACCAATATAATACAGGATGTTCTATCGAGGAATTTTTTTTTATGATACTATTAGGTATATATTTTTGTTATTATAGTCTTCGATGATTTCCACGGATTAATCGCAGCCGCAGCCATATTTACCACTAATATTTCTTTACTCAAACAGTTAACACCTTCTGATAAAAATACCGCACTAGTCATAATCACCAAGATAAAAATAAACTAATTCACATTACGTTCCAAATAATTTGTTCAAGTTCATTTTTTCCCAATACTATTGGCTACTTTTATTTAACACTTTTTATGACAAAAAGACGGACACATATAAAAGCACCTAAAATTTTTTACTTGTGAGTCTGCTGCCGCTGTCCACCAAAATGGATCTTACCATCGGCTTTAAAGTAAGTTAGAATAGAAAAATTGGTACTTTAAAATTATCACTTTACTACATATTTCAGTTTTTGTTGCTGCTGCTGAGTCTGATCGTTCTCACCCACGCGGCCCCTAGATACGGGGGAGGAGGAGTTGGTGGCGGCTACGGTGGTGGTTTTGGTGGAGGCGGTGGCCGAGGAGGAGGCTTTGGAGGTGGTAGAGGCGGTGGTTATGGCGGCGGAAGGGGAGGAGGCTTCGGAGGTGGCAGAGGCGGAGGCGGTGGATTTGGAGGAGGATTTGGTGGTGGGTCTGGTGGCGGCGGCGGATTCGGTGGTGGATACGGAGGAGGATACGGAAGATAAAAGCAAAAGTGTGTGAAATGTGACGTAATGTGTGTCCACCAGTAACTTGTTCGTTGTATTTTTTTTTGTAAATATGTATTTAATAAGCAGAGAAAGTATTTGCATGTGTTTAATGTTCTTAAATAAGATTGGACAATAAATATTAAAATAAATAAATACGTATATCAAAGGGTGCTTTAGTAAGAGAGATTAAGTCGGGGTGGGGAGTAGCTTCTTCCGTGGTATGTTGGTCTCCGGGCACTATATAATTTGTGACCATTGTATCGCCGATAGTTGTGAATGAATCCTCCAAAACCCCCATATCGGACAAGTGGAAACGCCATTGTTAAAAAAGACGTGTTGCATACTGTCAGCATCAGAAAAAACCAAATCTAAACTTTTCAAAGTTTTTATTTTCGTCATTGTTTATATGAACAATTATTTACCTTATAACCGACCATCGCTAACTAGTGTAACACTGATGCTTCTATACCTGCGTCGAAATCAATAGAGCACGCACAATTAATAATTTCTCTTATTTATAGTTTTCACGAGGTGAAAAGTCAACGTCCTAATTTCTAAAACCGGAATTAAAATAACGACACAAAATCTAGTAAAAAAATTTATTAAAAAAGGTGATTGTTGAACATGATAAATTGCACAAGCGATCCACTTCATCAGCGACTTACTGGCCTCGTTAAAAAAACACGCACTAGAGTTCACTTTTATCTTCCATATCCGCCCCCATATCCGCCGCCGAAGCCAAATCCTCCACCAAATCCACCGCCGAAGCCTCCTCCATAACCTCCTCCATAGCCACCGCCATAGCCGCCTCCATAACCGCCTCCATAACCGCCGCCGTAGCCGCCTCCATAACCACCGCCATGCCCACCGCCATAACCGTGGTGTTTATGACCGTATCCTCCGTACCCGCCGTAGCCTACCTTTTTGATTATTATTACGCTACCACCATGTCCATGTCCATATCCTCCGTATCCACGGTGACGCCAACCACCAGGTACGGGCGCAGGGGCTGCTAGCGATAAGGCAATAACGGCAATGAACACCAGCAACGTCTAAAATCAAAGTAAAAAATAAATGAAAAATAAATACAAAAATGATTAATAGTTTTGCAGTAGCGCCTAGTAATTAGTAATTACCTACCTTTATGGTAGCTAAAGTAAATTCCATTGTTTGCTCGACCTGCACCTGTCTCTAAAACTAGCCGAATGGAAGAATAATCGCAAGAAAATCTGACTAAACATTTTATATCATCTCTTTGTGGTAGTAATTCAAGGTGAACTGTCTGGGATAATCCTAAACAATTGTAGGAGCGTAATCTCTCACTTTCCATGTCTTTGGTGGAAGCATTAAGTAATCTAAAACTGTTTGCTTTGATTTATCAATGACACGTTTTAGGTTTTAAGGTGAGTTTCTTTGTTCAGTGATTGGTTCCAGATCGAACTTTCTCCAAATAGTCCTCATATGTGTTAGGAGCGGTTTTTCCAGGCAGACGGTGTCCAAAACTTTTAACGCTTTGCGTAAATAATTAGCATCTTTTTTGTAATTTAAAAGACACGGCGTGGGGATTTACGATTATTTAAAACTCTAATTTTAACAAAGTCTCATATGAAAATTTATTATATCATCGTGTTACGTAATTACATAAAAATATTATCTAAAGAAGAATTATAATTATACATTTAAGAACCAAAACCAAGTGCCCAATAGGGCCTAAAGCGACGATAGTTTCTTCGACGATGAAAATAGGGCGGAAATGCAAATCCACCTCCCCCTATAAATCCGCGTCCAAAGCCACCACGCCCGAACCCTCCATGTCCAAAACCTCCATGTCCAAAGCCCCCATGTCCAAAGCCTCCATGACCAACTCCTCCATGCCCAAAGCCTCCATGTCCTCCGCCTCCATGTCCTCCTCCCCCATGTCCTCCTCCCCCATGACCTCCTCCTCCACGAGGATCAGGCAAAGGGCTACTTGATACAAACGCGCTCAGAAAAATCAAAAAGACACATATCTAAAAATTCACAAAATCTCTATGCACCGTTACAACAAAGCGTTTTTTACTTACCTTGAGTGTTGTTACAAGAAAATTCATTTTTCTGTTTTAGACGCAAGGTACTTGCGATTAAATTTTATAACCACTGCGAAATGGCACCTGACTAAAAAAATAACACTTTCCAGGTCTATTTACCCGAGGTGCTATTTGTGATAATAAGTTGTCCAATGAGGATGGCTATTTTTGGTTTATTATTGGACATTATTTGGCGGTGTTTGCAGACGCTGACCAATGGGTAACAAAGGAATAAAGAATTTTTTTTTTATTAAAGTAAATTTCCATAAAAATTACAAGGTGTTTTTACTAAATAATAATAATTACTTTGGCTGGCCGTTGAGTAATTTTGTCTAGTCATCACTGATCTGTTAACACTTGTAAATGAATAAATTGTCTCCATTACAGATTTTGTAAAACAAATAAAGCTTAATGCACTTAAAATTAAATTTCTGAAAAGTAAGTACTGTTAATTACTAGGGTCAAGTGGGGTAGGGTAAGCGTGTCTTTTAAATTTTAAATGAAATTTGGCCCCTACTATGCATAAGTGTGCAGTAGTTACAAGAAAAATAAATACAGCACAGAAACTAGAAAATAGCTACGAAAATATTTCCAACGATGACGTTGTCACATTGAAACACAGGTGTGTGTAAGATGTGATTATAGATATTGATTTCGCAAGAAAACATTCTTTGAATCAGTAAAAAGGAAATTAATCTACAAACATTAGATGTTACCATGGATCGTCCATTACTCATTGTTATGAAGCTACCTTTCTAACAAAAACCCATTATTGTATTTTTCCGAAGGATTTAAAATTACTCATTTCAGTTTATGTTTATTGCTATTATTATTCTGTGTTAAATTACCTCTTTTGTCGTTACAAATATAATTTTTACTTCCCGAGCTTAAGCGGGGGACGTTTTATGACTTGTAGAATATGAAAAAGTAGGTCTCCTTTTCCGTCTATATGTCGTCTGTTTGTCTCTGTTTGTCTGTCGGTCTGTCTGTTTCTGCTTTTATTAGACAAATAATCTCCGAAACTACTGTGATTATTGTCAATTTTTATATGTATTCGTATTTCAAGAATATCCTGTAGAGGGTAGAATGCTAACCAAAATTTATCTGAACGTCTTCACTAAAAATTAGGCAATGCATCTCAAAATTTTGCATGGTAAATTTTATAAAATCTCATATGTTTGTGATTTATAACTCCGCCATTATTTTCTTTATAAAATTCAACAATTAATAACATCGATAATTTTTCTTCATTTGAAAAAAGTCTTCGTAAATAATATTCATTGTTTATTTTTCTAGTAAAAATGTATTGTTAATTTCATGATAAGGCACAAGGAAAATTATATAAAGATAATTAGAAGCTTCTAATTTCTGTACACTAATTTAAGAGTCTAATCCTCCTCGAACATTTTGCTTAAAATGATACACACAAATAATAAAATAAATTCTTTTATTTATAACTCAAAGACGAACTCAAATCCATAGCATTTTAATCCTTAGTCTAAAATAATTCTATTAATACCAGCGTCTTCTAATTGGTATCACCACTATGGCTCCGCCAGGTCTATATCCACCACCCCATCCGCCGCCCCATCCTCCTCCCCATCCGCCTCCCCATCCACCGCCCCAACGACGGCCCCAACCTCCCCTGTAGGGTTCTGGTGCAGGATCTGGATCCGGTTCAGGATCTGGATTTGGTGCAGGACTTGGATCCGGTGTTGGGATACACCAAGTCACAGAAATTACGAAGAGCACCAAAATCTACATCAGAATAAAATTATTTCTTTGTACTCTGTGTTTCTTTGCTACTTACCACCCAAATGCGTGCCATGTGTTTCATCTTCGCAATGTAATGACACTTGTGCTTACTGATTTCAAACTGAAAAAAATTGGCAGATGTTCGTATTTATATTGATCTTGAAAATTGACACTTATTTGATGATAATCCAAGGCTGCTCATTAGAAATAGGGATTAACCGTGACTAAGTGGGTGTAATTCGCACATTTTGTTGAACTCGAAATCTAAAACTTCCAATTAGAACAAGTAATTTTAAAATTAATTTGGGTGCAGTTTTTGGTTTTAAAATTTAGAAACAATACCATACCTAGTGTGCTACAGCACTTTACGTTTTGTTTTTGCCACAATTAAGATTCATTAATAAACAAAAATAAAAACACAACGTAGTTGAAAATTTTTTAGTTAAACGCGACAAAATTTGGTTTAAACATGCTAATAGATGAGACAAATATTTGCAAATTCGGCCAGACTTGTCGTAAGAATTGTTTTTACTTGTACATTTTTGCAAAAATGTATTGTAAAATTTTGTTTATTTTTATAATTATGTAAATCGGGAAGTCCCACCAGAATTATTTGTCTCTTTTTCTGTTTATTTTAGAATTAAATAAATGCATTACAACGGAATATTTTTTCAAGACCATGCATTCCCTTTGCGCTGAAAATTTAAAAACATTATTACTATTTTTTTATTTTAAAATTTATTAGCTACTCTTGATCTTATTTATTTGTTATATTTATTTTACTGTATTTTAGGAGTGAGGGAAGTTCTGTGTAAATAACCTTAGACCACTTGTTTTAACACTACTATAATTTCAAATTTTATACACTGCGAATAAAGAACAATAAATCTGACAATTATTCTAGAATACTAAACATCGTTCTATAAATATTGCGTTACACACTTTACACACTCATGAGTGATAAATTCAAGATAACTGTTAACGGATTCTAGTTGAAATTCTTTAAACATCCACAGGTGTGCGACGCAGCGAAATTATGTCGTCATTCTGAAAAACCAATTGTTTGAAATAATTAAAGGAAACACAGACAAATAAAAGTTTTTTGTATTATAATTACGTTACGACCATAAACGATGTCTTCATCCAGGCACATTATAGTAATAAACTCAAATCCTGGTCTAAATGACCCTTGAAATAAACGATTTTCCCCATTTCCCCTTCAAAGGTAGTAAGGAAAACCCGAAAGTCAAAACGACAATGACTCATCACGGATAAAAGCCCTTATCAGATGATGTTACCTACAAATTTAAGTTCTAAGGTGATAATTAGTGCTGCAATTAACATAAATTATGTTCGGATGTTACGCTATTTCGCGAAGTTACATCTGTAATAAAAACTGTGTTTATAAAAACTTAATAAGGTATTCGAAGATTACCGTCAAGTCCCTGACTAATGTATGGTGTTGATGGAATTATAATTTTTGTCGTCGGACGTATATTTCATAACATTTGTACTAGACAAAGTCCTTGGCATTCGTGCGGTCACCCAAATACTATATAATCTATTTGGGAAAAATTTCGCCCAACAAACACACGAAATACTCTGAACCGGACGGAAGACTCTCTAACCAAAATGGTAAGCACGACGTTACCATTTATCAGTCAATTCGTTTACCTGTTTTATTTCTTCCAGATTCTCTCTACATTATTCTTCATTACAACCCTTGCCTTCAGCTTCTCGTTTCCGCTGGCCGACCCCGATCCCTCTCACCACAAATCCAGGGTTATCTTCATCGGAAAAGACTACAATTCGGGCTACGGGGGCGGCTATCCAATTAGCCACAGCAATGGCTACGGCGGCGGCTACGGGGGCGGCTATGGAGCAGGTTACGGCGGCGGCAACTACCTGGGTCACGGTGGCGGCTACGGAGGCGGCTACGGAGGTGGATATGGCGGTGGTTATGGGGGAGGAAGTGGATACGGAGGGGGATATGGATACGGGGGTGGAAGCGGATACGGCGGGGGTAACGGGCTAGGGTACGGGGGTGGTTCCGGCTATGGGTACGGAGGTGGCTATGGGGGCGGCTACGGTAATGGATACGGGAGTGGGTATGGAGGAGGGTGGGGCAGTGGAGGTGGTTATGGATACGGGCGATGACAGTGAACCACAGACTGAAAACTTAAATTGTGAACATGTGGTATTTTGAGAATAGTAATAATTAAATGAATTGTTTTGTATTTATTTTTGTATTAGTTTATGCACGTGTTTTTAAGTGAAAAAAATTCCTTAAATGATGGCTATTTGAGTGTTTTATTTTAGTATAGGTGCCACATCCTTGGGAAAAAATCCAAATACATCATTTTTTTGGAGTTCATAAACACGTAGTAAACATGAAGATATAAAAATTGTTTTTATTAATGAAATATAAAGGTGTGATCGATCATTGGTTTATTATTAGCTAGGATGGAACAGTATAGATGTATTCACCTAAATTAAATACAAAATCTGTAGAACCTGAATAACAAAAATTCCCATTTTGTGCTGTTAATGTAGTTATAGCCGACCTAGAATTTACGACCCCAATACTATTAATAATTAACGTTTGCGTTTTGTTTTAAATTGATGTATAATTTTGGTTTTTAAATGTTTAAAGTTTAAACTTTGAGATATTAATGATAACCATGTTATTCAAATATTTCCTTAGTCATAAAGTGAAAAAAAAAACGTAGACGATCATATAAAGTTATAAATAATTTTACGCCTTTAAGGGCCGGTCTTTTCACCTCCTGATAGAGTTCCTGATTATTTTTATCTACTAGATAATGTCAAATGGAGTCTTTTCACCACCTGATAAAATTATCTTCCAGATAAATAGCTCTTATTCGGCAGATACACTATTCGGAACTTTAAGTTCCGGATAGTCGCCGATTCTTGCTGATATCTGACGGCGACAACCGATGGCGCAGCGAATTTGCGCGATTGTTTCAAATTCACTTGCCCATTTCTGCCAAAGACGGTGTTTACTTATTAAACCGTAAGTGATTTTCTTGATAAAAAAAATGGATAAACGAAAAATTGAAAGCGAACAGAAACGGAACAGAGAGCCAAATTGCACCAAGGTCGAAACAAGCCGACTTTTAACACAAATTTTAATATACAAAATAGTACGTTTAATATTTCGTATTTATCTTTACCTTGTGGCCCGATGTTGTAACTGCTTTTGAATTTCGTTAAACAATAATTCTACTGTGGCTTTTGAAAGACAAAAACGATTAAAAATCTCTTGGTCACTCCAAAAAGTTGACATAATCTCTATTTTTGCGAACAAAATATGTTCGATGTGGATTTATCTCTTCAATCACATTTATTATTAATAATAAATATGCATCAAATAACATATCGATACCTTCATAAGTTCATAGACTTCCATAGCGCAACCAAAATAAAACGATAATATACGAAGTAAATGAGGTTATGTTAGCAGCGGTACGACTTCAAACGTCAAAAACTGTTGCAAACCCAGTTGCAAATAGTCTTTCTCTCTTATTCATATTACAATACCAATAGCTCCCACTCTCTCGCTTACAGCTGGACTAGCTGATTGTTATCGGAGACCCATGTCTAACAGTTGCAAAATGAAAAGACGGTACGAGCTAATTTAGAAGATAAGACCGCCAGGTAAAGTTATCGGGATGATAGTTATCGAACACTTTATCTGGGACATGAAAAGTCCGGCCCTAAATAACATGACGAAATAAATTTTATTTTTTAATGCTATTCAGAATATTAAATCAACAAAACGTGCTGTGGGATTTTTCATACACGAATATTTTTTAAATAACCAATGTAGTTTTCTCAGTAAAACTAGTTGTAAATTTCAAATTTATCGTCTTTCTATGCTGACAATTTGGTGAAGGATCGTGAAAAATTTAAATTAAAATATTTTCCTTTGAATTTTTTGGTTGCAACAAATGATTTTCCGACGTTCTTATTCTTCTATAGGTAATGTCAAATAAAAAAAAAATAAATTCAGGAAGCTCTAAATGTCAATTTTGAACTTAATAAGTACACTTCATAATGTCAGGAGCGATATTTCATAAAACAGTATTTTTTGAGTTGTAGTAGTAACTTCCTAATTCAATAATGGAGACTCCTGAAAATTGCGGTCTAGGACAATTCGGCGCGGCTGACTTGGCGCGGCCAACTTGGCGCGGCCGACTTGGCGCGAGACATTTTGGCGCAGGGACACTTTGGCGCAGGGACACTTTGGCGCAAGCCATCTTGGCGCGGGCCATCTTGGCGCAAATGAACTTGCACCAAGAAAAATAGATATAAATATGCAAAAATTGTACCCGTTGTTAGCATAACCCAATTTTTATAGTCTCCAACGCGGGGAGGGGTAATGTCGACTTTTTAATGGACACACGGGAGCTTCGCGCCCTGCACCCCATTATAAACATACTCCTAAACGTGGAACTTCTTGCTCGGTGGATCATTTAGTTATTGGAATTTGTGCGAATGAAAATGTGTATTTGGTTACCTACACTTAGCATAAATAACAGGGTGCCAACCAAAGTACGAACAATAAATATATTTTATAATATATACCGACGTACTCGCGCCAAGATGGCTCGCGCCAAGATGGCTTGCGCCAAAGTGTCCCTGCGCCAAGTTGGCTTTGCGCCAAAATGGCTCGCGCCAAGTCGGCCGCGCCAAGTTGGCCGCGCCAAGTCGACCGCGCCAAATTGTCCCATTCCGTGAAAATTGCTGTACTACCGACTTGAATTTATGAATGCACTGGATGTTTTCATGTATTTTTCTTTTACTATGAGGCTGTTAAGTTCAATTTTGTTGTGAACTACTGGCGTGTTTATTTATTATTGGAATTCTGCGGGAAATAAAAATACATTATAGTTTTTGTTTGCTTTATAAATTTAAGAGGTTCGGCAACCCACTATACACACTTGTTAGGTGAACAACTTACACACTTCTACCACAGTAGAGATAACAATCAGTAGAGACAGCTCGTGTCGGCGCCTTTGTTCTTTCTGACCCGAATTTTAAGCCGTCATGGGTGGTCGTTGCCTAAACTATTCCTAGATGTCGCCACCCAATTTAAAAAGTTTCACTTCATTTACAATTTCAAAAATTGATTCGTGTACGCAATTTATTGCAAACTGTGTAGTTTTAAGGTGGTCTTCTGCATTGTGGTGACTTATTCTTCTTCATCAAAACGACGACCTACATTTAACTTTAAAATTTCTTCCATATCAGGCTCGCAGTTTTGATTACCTGTGTTCGTTTCATCAAAATAATCTTGTATGATTAATTTTCTAAAAGCCATTTGAAATTGATTAGATGTGGGGTTAATAGAATTTCCATTTTGTTTCCTAATCCATCCAAAACAGTTTTCTAGTGCGTCTTATTAATATATAGTCAAACCCATTTTACCTAACAACTTAACCCGTAAGCGTAATATCATATAAAGTAAAATTTTTATTTAAAAAAAATTATTACAAAAAAAATGCATATTTGTCGGCTCACATAAAGTGCAGGTAATTGGTATGGGTCGACGCAGGTAAGAATAATTAAGGAATTCATGAAACCGGAAGTCCATAGGGATTAAGCGAAAAAGGATATTTGACAAAATGTACGGCTTGGGTCATTTTTATCCACGCGCGACTGCTTATGGGTTAAGCAACGTTTCAAAATAAAACTCAAGATTGTGTAGGTCAAAAAATATATATATACATGATGAATAAAAAAATTGTTTATTGAGAGAAGGTCTGCTTATATAATTTTTTGTTACGTGTAGTTTGTTTCTTATTATTTTTATATTTAATTTTACCACAACAACGGAATCATATATAATAAATTTTTATTATTTATTTCATAACCACCGTTGTTGTCCGTTTGCGACGACTTTTTAAACAAAAAGTGTGTTATGTTTACTATCTTTTCCAAGAATTCCAAACACGATGGAGAGAATAAGGCGCACAACAGGGATCCTGTATGAAAATTCATCGGACAAAGATTTTACCTTTTATTGTGAAAATTACATTTTTACACTATTTGTACAATTCTACCGGAAAAGCAGTCTTAAACAAGCAAAACCGGCAAAAATATTGTAACAAAACTGCCAAATTTCAAATATTTTAGACGTCAGTTGGGCGCCCTCATTCGGTCATAATGCGAACGACCGCCCACGAAAACGGGTCACGAAAAACGGCGAGCTGTCTCTACTGATTGTTATCTCTACTGTGCTTCTACCATGTGTTCGATAATAAAATATATAATAGTAATAACAAAAAAAAAAAACAGCATTTTTGGGTGATACAAATTGTGAAATTTCACTTTTTTATTTTGTTGGAAATCAGCGAAAAACCGAAATAATGTTCTAAATTTTCTTATTCTTGTAGAGTTTAAAAATGTCAGTATGAAGATTAGTAAGTAGCATAAATATTCAGTTTCACAATTCACATTTAAAATGAAATAAGGATATAGACTGTCTAACGATATTCCGCTTTTATGGCTCTAACTTTCCAAGTAATAACCACAAACATACAATAGGATTTTCTAAACAACCCTGCCAAGGTGGACCGTTATGATAGTAAATAGAATTTACAGCGGGTGATTATTAGGGATGAGTTAAGTTAAATACCCATAAATCAATAAACACGAAATATAATTAGTCATGCTATACCATCAACTCTCAGTATTGGAACACTAGGTAACTAAGGAATTAAACTTTGAAGATTATCATTCTTTTCTTATTAATGACATCGAACACAAAACCACAACTAAAGTATAGTGAACCAAGAGTTATAAGGTTATATGGCCATCATAAAATCATCCCATTGTGTCGAAGTTAAGTTGTTTACAATAGAAAAGGTTTTAGGGTCGTAAATAACGTGTCCACTGCAGCTCGACCGGCTCTTGTGGTTTCGTTCAGGGGCGGCTTTCACTAAATATGAAAATCCACCACTCCACTATTTCTTTACTACCTGCAGCCGCTGAGGGTTCCGAAATAACCACTAGCTTTGAAAGCCGGCCCTGTTAAATATGAGCAAGAAATGTTTAGAAGATGATTTATTGCCAACCGGTAAGCTTAGTGCGAACCACACAAAGGGGGTATTTATTTGCGGTCAACTACTTTTATGAGGACCATATAACCTTATAGGTCTTGGTTCACTATACATTCGACTAAAGTTTTGGAAATAATGAAACACATGTACCGTTAAAAAATAATGTATCGATTTTAAGAACCTCAAGATTCTAATTTATGATTTATTTTCAAATT